TCCCCGGTATTGAAGTAAAGATCTCCTTTCTTGAGAACGTTGCGAAGTCTTTTTCTCTCCGTTTGCTCTTCGTTTTGGGCGTAGCCGACAAACGGAGCGATGTCTGTGATCTTGGACACCAGCAGTCCTGTCTCACCTTTAAAAACATAGGCCAAGATGAGCCAGAAACTCTCAGAGACGAGGTCTAAAATCATCAATACAACTGATTTAACAACTTCAATCAGTCCTCACCTTTAGGTACCTCTACACAGAGGCCATTAGCATCTCGAATCGGTTCATCTCGCTCTGTGTCGTACTTGACAAGCGTGTAGGGAAAGATCTTCTGCAGAATGAAGTACAGAGTATAGTAACATGTGCACAAAACATGTTACTGTACAGAGTATAGTAACATGTCCACAAAACATGTTTATACCAGCAGAATAAACCACAGTCTGCACAGAAACATACAATACGAGCACAATGCAGAGTTACATTTTAGAACTGCTGTTTAGGCCACAAATGAATGTTTCAGCATGTATGAAGTCTAGACGAAGAAAGGACAATGTGTGGTGAAAATAGTATCAATTCAACGTCCATGTGCAAACTTTTTCAGAGCTTTTAATCACATTTCACGGGTCCCCAATGAATCATCAACAGCTGTTCCACATTCTGCCATGAGATGCCATTGAAAGCACAGAAAAAGCAAGTAAATGGAGTTGAGATCACAACAACACGACATACAACCTGGTGATTATTTTGTGAATCTAGCAGATGTCACTCTTACCCGATGCAAAAAATTGACTCGTCCGATGGCTCCAACTTTCCCTGTGTAGTTGACAAATCCCACATTTCCCTCGGTGGAGGCATAAAACTCTCGAATCTGAATGTTCCCAAAGCGACGGACGAACTCTCTCCATATCTCTGCTCTGATGCCGTTGCCGATGGCCAGTCGCACTTTGTGATCCCTGTCGTTCTCTCTCTGTGTTTTCACATAATAATTAAAAATAAACCGATGAAACATTTTGCAAGGGCTGCAAAAATAAATAATTCCATACTTAAAGCATTTAAGGACCCGAAAGAGTGTTATTATCTAGAAATATTGGTAACTGGGTCAAGGAGGGGTGTTAATAAAATGTTGGAATGCCACTTTTAAACACACACATACTCATGCTTTATAATAAACAGGAATCAGCCATCCAATTAGGCCCTTAATTATGATTAATTAGGCACCTTCCATATCAATGTAATTATAAACGCTGTAAGAATTTGATATTGGAAACCGGTTTGCACAAACAAAAATTCCTCTGTTTGACTTAAAAATATTGATCCCTTGAAATACCGCACAAATAATGCCTGAAAAATACCTTTCACTAGAATAAATGTGACCCTAAAGTTATATACTAGTACAAGGAGATTTGGTTGCCAAGTTACTTGATATGGTTCTCCTAAGTAAAGGCCAGCATCTATTCCTAGAGGTGACCAGATAAAGACAAACCACCTCTCTGACTCGTGCAGGGTCATGCAGTAAAGTGAGACTGAACTTCATGTGATGCAACTAGATACTCTGAATGGTACACATACATACACAGAAGAATGCTTACAGTACTCCTAAATAGACGGATATAGACGCATCTATAGAAGATGTCAAAATGCAAATAGTCATTCTAGTGCTCTAAAAATGCCTGATTTATGCTGCTCTGCTCAACAAACCCCACTGTTACTGACGCACAAGGCTGGAACCCGATAGTTGTGATTTAACGATTTCTATTTTGGTAAGCCAGCTGTGCTGTGCTGTGGGAATGTACAGATTTGGAAAGTTATCTCGGACTAGATCAGCCTCTCTGGTAGCTTGCTGCAGCCGGTTTGCAGTTGTCTGCCTCTACAGCTGTCTTGTTTTACAGTAGTTTAGATGGCAGAGAAGAGGTGTGGTGCCCACAGCGGCCCTCAAGAGATCCTTTGTGAGATTGTGTGAGCTTTAATCACTTGAATTATGAAAAAATAAATAAAAAAAAAAAAAAACATCGAACAGAAAAATACCTGAATTTGTTAACACGTCAGACCAAAGCAGCAGTTCACTTGTGACATCAGGACAGCTCCTTCACAGCCATTAGTTATTATCTCTAAATATATATTATTCTTTCATCATAGTCCAGTTGCAGTTTGTCAAAAAAACATCTTTATTTATAGGCCTTATGTATTCAAGTTTTTCCTCCTCTGAGTAAGAAAGAAGGTCTCTTTAACCCTCTGAACCCTAAAACCCATCAGTGGGTTTGAAAGGCATGTTTTCTCTGGAAAATTGCCAAAATGACACAATTTATCAGAACCAGAAACTTTAGAATACATAAAGAGTTATCTGATTTTTAACTTTCCAATGTACAATCTGTCACATATGGTTCCGTAACAAAATGTATCTAAAAGTAAGATTAAAATTGTAATATTCTGTCAAAATCACTTTATTCTAGAAGTCAAAAAGCCACGGTTTTTTATTTACCAGATCCTATTAAAAAAAAAAAAAAAAAAAACTAAAACAATCGTGCACTCTTCTGCACAACAGAGACACCATGAGTGACTCAGCTGTGGTCAACAGCTATGTGACAAAAATTCAGAATCTTTACACCTGGACTACAGGTTAAGCAGAGCAGAAAAGAGACCACACAGTAGACTGAGAGCAAAATAAAACAAAGTTGATCAAAAGAAAAAATGCTGCATGGTTCAAAAATGTATCCAGATGAGCAAGTTCCTGAGAGATCCATTTAGCATGGTGAAATATAAAAGTGTGTGTCGTATAAAAAATGTGAGGCGTGTAATATAAAAATGTGATTAAAAATGTGTGAAAGGCACCGAGTTTGTGGAGGTTGTAAAAATGCAAACAGGTCTTGTCAAAAAGCTGATCTCTACGATGTCGACTCCCAACATTGGTGACACCTGGAAGAATGCTGCTCGTGTTGATTCAAATCTGACCTCAAAATTGTGATATTTCCTTAAAATCACTGTATTCTACGTGTCTTATTTAAAAACCTGCCAAAAATAAATTGTTTGCGCTAACCGCATTCTGTGAAAAAACATTAAATGCCTCAGTGTTCAGTGCAAATCTGAAGAAACTCATGACTCAGCGATGACAGACAGTCATGTGACAATAATTCATTCAAATATGGTAAAGCTGGTAACGATAGTTTTACCTTTGGTGTACTACAGAGGTAGCGCATCACCTCTCCTATGTACTGGACTACAGTCACGTTGTATTTCCTGCAGTCATCCCAAAACTGTGATGCAGAAAACTTCCTCTTCAGGATTATCGTTGATCCTAGATGACAAATAAAGGGGAGAGTGTTTATTTTTTTTTATATTCATATATCATATAACTATACTACTCTTAGCATCTCTGTGTTACAGTTAGTTATTATTTATGCAGTGAACTAAAGACAAATAACATAAGATATGCATTTATTTATCTCACAGTGGAGAAATTCACATTGTTGTCAGCAGCATTACACACAGAGATACACACATACTAGACAGAAAAATGTACATATAAATATAAGAAATAGTGCAAACAAGTATAAAAGCACAAATAAAAAGAGAAAAGTGCAAACAGAATATGAGAATGGGCTTCTGAACGGGGAATTAGTTTACTTTAGAAAAAAACTTCCAAAAACTAACTCCAACAGTGTTGAACTGTGTACCACTTGACCGTGAATGCTGCACAACAGAACTGTGCCTGTTCTGTTGTTGAATCTGCGCTAATCGGTGTGTAACTCAGTCCGCTTATCCAGACGTAAAGCAGCGGTGTGAACTTTGGCCTATTTAGAAAAAAAGATTCAAGTCCAGATTACTGGTTCACAGTGACAAAAGACTCTTTGAGTAGGTTTGCACCAGGGGCAGGATAAACGGAGGGAGAGGAGGAGCTGCTTTTGTGCAGGAACGAGTTGAATTCAGTTTACAACTCTGCAGCAGGAGCCCCATGTTTAGGTTGTGTGAGAATCTCATCATGCTGTTGTAACATGGTGACACTTTCTTGAATCTGTATGATCTTCAGGGGACACAGCTGGTGTATTACTTGTAGTAAAAGTGACACTTCCAGCAAACAAACAGAAGTAATGGTGAGAGATGACAGGTGGAAGGGGAGTGAGTGGCGAATGCTGCATGATGCAAGGACGAGAATTCTAAAAAACCTGAATAAAAGCATCTCCAAAACATCACCTTATTACAAGGAGCGTGATGACAGTGCATTTTTTTAAACTAATTTAGTTGGTTTTAATGGTTATTTAGCTTTAAATATAAGAGATTTTCTTACGCTGAAATTTGTAGGCACTGCATCTGTTGTGGTAACGTATGATAAACTGAATTTAATTTGGCCATGAATTTTTAGACTTCTTTGGTCCGACCATTTTATTTAATATGATCATTGAAAACTTTCTTGGTACATTTTTGGTACAGAATACCTTCTGTATATGTGCCCTGTTTCCCTATGAATCAGGATGGATAGTAGGACTTGCTTGTATTTGGAGCTTAATGCAGTTAACTGGGCAACCTCATGGCTGCACAGCGGCACAGTTTAACCTTTGGCTGGTCTCAATACTAATGCACAATAGAGTTTCCTACATTACAATAGCTTAGTGTAATTATTTGGTTTTTAGCAACTGACAGCACGACTGTCCGATGCCTACCGAGTTTAAGGCGGTTGTTAGAAGTGACACGGAGCTGTATGTCATTTAAAGACCCAAAGTTTATCACCTTGTTAACATGTCTGTGTGTGTTTCTATATGCTGAAAGATATATCATGAGTTAAATTAGCTGCATTTCCACTTTGAACCTGCAGCGTATTGATGACAGTCTTAAAAACACAGATTCATACTTCTAGAATTTTATGGAAAACAAAATTCTGAACCTAATCCTGGCAACTTGCAGAGTGGAACTTTCTGTATTATCATTCTTCTTCAGTCCCACTCCCAGAAAGCATCAGAGAATACTCCTCACTCTCTGTATTCAAGACATCTATAAAGACACATCTTTTTCAACACTGCCTACAACTTCAAAATCCCCCTTTTCTATATGCTCCTTTCTATTTTTTTTCTATCTATCTATCTATCTATCTATCTATCTATCTATCTATCTATCTATCTATCTATCTATCTATCTATCTATCTATCTATCTATCTATCTATC